GCTTATTCGTAGTACCACCCACTCTAATTTAAGCTTATCCGTAGAACCACCCACTCTAATCAGAGCTTATTGGTAGAACCACCCACTCTAATCAGAGCTTATTCGTAGTGCCACCCACTATCATCAGAGTTTATTCGTAGAACCACCCACTCTAATCAGAGCTTGTTGGTAGAACCACCCACTCTAATCAGAGCTTATTGGTAGAACCACCCACTGTAATCAGGGCTTATTCGTAGAACCACCCACTCTAATCAGAGCTTATTGGTAAAATCACCCGCTGTAATCAGAGCTTATTCGTAGAACCACCCACTCTAATCAGAGCTTTTCTGCCCATTTGTCACTCAGTCAGCCGATGTATGGGAAGGCCGCGGCCACGAACACTACCAGCAGCATACGACAGGTGCGTGAATTATTTTGCCATTGTGTCTTGGGTTCTATTGCCATAGTGTGCACGATTATGGGGCGCTATACTACAAACAATGCCGTGTTTTGGGTGGATTTAAGGTTTTAAAGTTTAGTGGTTAGGGTTTAGGAGTTGAGGGGTTTAGGTGTAATCCCGGGACTAGTGCCATGTGTGTATGTTGTAGTGATGTTGATTCGAGGTGTTGTTCGCATTTGCATCTTATGTGGAGTGGACTGCCAAAACATACGTGCATACGCCAACCCTGTACGCATCAAACCTTCATCGCATTCAACAATGGGCACATACAGGGTGTATCTACACCGAGACAACCGACACGCCAGCTTCACAATAGAGATACCAACACTGTATGGCTGTTGGTCGGAGGTTTTGCCTATTCCCTTTGTCTACTTTCACGAAAAGGAACTGTAATTGGTTGAATACCGAACTGTAATTGGTTGAATACCGAACTGTAATTGGTGGAATACCGAACTGTAACTGGTTGAATACCGAACTGTAACTGGTTGAATACCGTGTCCATGTACAGGACTTTATAACCTTTTTCGAGGGCAAGGGACACCCACAGGTGCCGTCGTCGTCGCTAGTACCTACTGCGGACGCAACGCTGCTGTTCACCGCTGCAGGTAGGGAAAGTTTCTAAAGATATATTGTGGTTGTACGTTTGTGTGTCACTGCCGATGCAACGCTGCTGTTCACCGCTGCAGGTAGGTAAAGTTTCTAAAAAATATATATTGTGATTGTACGTTCGTATGCCACTGTCGATGCAACACTCTTGTTCACAGCTGGAGGTAGGTTAGGTTTCTAAAAATAGACCGTGGTTGTATGTTCGTGTGCCACTGCCGATGCCACGCTGTTGTTCGCCGCTGCTGGTAGGTAAGGTTTCTAAAAATAGTTTGTGGGGTGGATTTCCTGTGATGGTATATTGCTTCTGGGGGAGCGATGATCCCTTATGTTGTTATCGATTGTGAATGAGCCGGGGTTGTAATAGGTTTTTTCAAGCACTGACTTCAGATGTCGGTGTCTTACTTTGAAATATGGCCACGTGCTCATAGGTGTATGCAGACCCAACTATGGACACCAATTAGTTGTAAGTTCTATTGTGAAGTGAAAGTATTTCAACGTCCTCATGTACACAGTCATAACAAACATAACATACAGACACACCAAGCGGGTTGATTCAGTTGTAGGTTGTATTCCGAAGTCGGTGTATTTGTACTTTCTGGTCCGCAAAGGAGTGGAACCCGACACATTGGCATGTCATACGGAAACAAAAGGGAGTCTAATTCAAATTTGGTGTCTACTCCAATCTCATATCAGGAATGGTGCAATTCAAACCTATTTTTCTGGGTGAGAAGACGCCACCCGCCGACTGTGCCGTGACCGTGCAGAAGGTACTGCAGCGATTCATTGATATAT